CTAAAGCAATATACAGGTAGTCCATGACTTACAACCATTTAATGATTATTTTAAGTTACGACAGCACTGAAAAAAGTGACTTATAATCGGTCCCGGTACTTATGACCGTGGTAGCATCCCTGCAGTCACATGACCAGAATTCAGGCACTTGTTAACCAGCATGTCTTTTAAGTGTGTCCCAGGATCATATGATCCCCATTTGTGGCCTTACCAGGGGCATCCAACAAGCAAAATCAATGGGGAAAGCCAAATTCACATAATGGTTTTGCAATTCACTTAATAATTGTGATTCGCTTAACAACCATGGCAAAAGAGATCATAAAATTGGCATGGCTGACCTAACAACCACTTTGCTTAAGGACAGAAGTTCCATCCCCGATTCTGATTGTAAGTTGAAGACTACCTGTATTATAAATATATTATCCTAACAATTTAGGATATGAACTTTCTGTTAAGGGGCAAAGCCCTAATTTGGGGACAATTCTGTAAATCTATGGAGTTATTTCTGCTTTACAGTTTGATGCTGCAAATCTTCTCATTCTGTCCACAATCTACATAAGGTAACATAAATTGAGTTTACTGAATGCAATTTAGCTTGGATATTAACAGAGTAGAGGGTCAAAGTTAATATGCCTGATCCATTGCTGCTAGCAAAAACCAGATGATGGAAACATATTAAAGACCATACAGTTCAATAATAATGAAAAAAAACCTCTCTAGTTCAGAAACATATCCTGCATTCAAAAGAATACTAAATTGAGTGAAGTACAGGTAACTATATTTGTTTTATTCTATTTGGCAAGGAAAATGTAAGTACTCAAAGCTCTTTCCAAGTTGCTCCCTGGAAGGGAACAACAGACCAAAGGCTAGATAAATACAGTCCTAAAAGTCATATATCACCTTCATAATAACATTGCTATTTAAATAATTGAATCGTCTTTTAAATTTCACTGTATAACTACAGAACAAAATTTGAAAGTTTCTTCATTTGTAACATGCAAAGAAAATGTTGGCTTCCATCTGCTTTTTATGTGTTCAAGAGCCAACACACACACACACACACAGACACACAGACACACACAGCTCATTCCAGGTAGCTTTTTCCTGATCAATATATTAGTACTCAGACTCTTTGTTCTGATTTGACAGATACTTCAAGTAGTCATTTATCTTAACAGCCTCCCAAAGGAGATCTTCTCGGCCCTATTATGCCTTGCTATTAGACTGGTAGTGAAGTCAATTTTTATTCCAAGCTTTTACAAAATACCTCTTTAAAGCTGTCATTAACTGCAGCTACTACCTTTTAGTTTTTTAATTCTGATTTTCTCAATATTTTCTAATATTTAATATGTGCTCTTTTAGAATTTAGAAAGACAGGTTATGTATGCTGAAAATAATGAGCTAACATTAGGAGTTATAACTGCAAAAACAACCCTCATGCAATACACACTATATAGTTGACTGCTTAAAGTTGCAGCTCAGCACACTTACCAAGGAATGATTCCTAGGGAAGCCAGAAAAATTGATGCCTGAACAGACATATATAGTATTGCATACAGGGGCACTGAACATCAGGAAAAAAATGCAAATATTTGGTGGTATAGATATGGTCACACACTACTGCAGAGATTTCTTCTCTTATTCAAGGATCTTGTGAAATTCATTGTTTTTAGTTTTCATAGTTGTAGAGAAAAAGTATAAATACCTTTCCAGTATTCATCCTTGAAAATAAGTCATTTCAAGACAAAAAGCAACGTGAGAATTGGAAATCAAATTCAATACATTTAAAATTCTGAACCCATATCATTTCCCCCAAATTTGGGAAATCTTACTTGGAGATCTGCCCACTGTTCCATCTATTTCTCAGGAGTAATTATTTGATTTTACTGTGAAGTAGGACATGCATGTGGCTACCATTTTTGACACCCAGTGATACATTTTGGTTTCACTGGCATTGCGTTTGTGGAAAAGAGAAAACAATACATTGAAATGTAGGGAAGAACTTAAAGATAATTTAGGATCACACTATTATATGAGAACTATTTATAAAGGTAAGTTAGATATTTACCCATATTTATTCTGGCAAACTGTCTACTTGTGGAAAAAAAAAACAAAGAAGGAAAAATTCAATACATGGGTCTGTGGCCCTAAAAAAAGGAAGCTGAGCAATCTGGTGCCAGAGACAATTCATTTCTCTCTTCAGGAATGATTGTGATTATACTAATTCCAGTTTCATTGTTCATCATCTACAAATATTTACCATCAATACATATTTTCCAGAATATAACTGAGACCTTTGAAACACCATGTGCTTCAGAGGGGTAAAGCTAAAAGTAGCAGTGTACATCTGCCATCTAGAGGCCGAAAGGGCACAGGGCAACTGATGTGACCTATGTCTGGAAACTGGATTCATTTCACCTTAAGGTAATGCCATCAGTCTTCTTTAAATAAATGTCATTCATGGTGTTTTTATTTGGCATATCTGAAACATGTAAAATTAATCGGGTTAGGAAAAAAAAAATAACTTAAGAGAGGAGCATTTTCTCCCAAACAAATTATCCAGATGCTTTTATCTAGTACTTCCTACAAGGACCTCGGGCAATATGTATGGTTTACCCAACTATAGCCTCATGTTGATGTTATGATGAGAGTTAGATTGAGACTAGCTTTTTCCATAAGAAATCAGGAATATGGAGCAAATTTTATAACTGAAAAGAGCTTTGACCTCTGCTCACTCTAGTCTAAATCCAGTGCTTGATTCATACTTAAAAGTTGTGAGAATGTAATCCTTTACATTTCTTTGAAAAGCAACTCCATACCCTCTGAGAAATGTAAATAAGTATTTTTTTAAATACTATTATTTGTGATGGTAAAAATGTAGGAGACACAGGAGTAGCATTTGCTCTTAAGGACAGCTTCTGTTTTGTGGGTATATTTTTAATATACTGCATTGCTGAGAAACTGTTACTGCTAAATGTTCTCGTGTTCAAGTATTATTTGGGGCACCACAGATATTTAACGAAACCAGGAATCAGGATTTCAAGTCCCAAAATGTTTTAGGACTCCCAATGGTTGTGCTGGCCAGAGAATTTTGGACATTGTGGTTTGAATTCAATAAGAAACCACAAATTAGGAAAAGCTGTTGGAGACTGGAGGCATCCACAAAGATATTTGGTGGCATGGGACACGGGGGCAGAATGATGAAAGCAGTGTTGAATCATCATGATGGAAGCCCCACATGTTGTTATCTATACAAAAGCAGGAAAACTTGCAATGGGATCGTGTTTTTGTTATTTTACTGAAAACTTCAGATTCTCTGGATGCCTCAGAGTTAAAGCCACTATTCTAATAACTAGGACAATAAAATGTTGTGCTAAGGAGCTACACTGTAGCGAGATGCACTTATATTTACTTGTAAACAGAAAACTGGGACAAATCTATTTCAGACTAATACTTAAGTTATTTTCTAGACTGAAACACATAGGGGTTGCTTTTTTGAGGCAGTGTCTCCTATTTCACAAACATGGTATTCACCTATACTTTTATCATCTCTCTTTTTTTTAAAGCTACCTGCCAACCTGAACCTTTTCTTGTTAGAAATGCAGATATTCCAACCAATTTTTTAAAAAATCTGGAAAAGGAAAGCTTTGACTGACAATTGAGAAATCTCCAAAAGTTAGGCAAGGAATATTTGTCACAAATATTCCAGATTCTGCAGGGTTCCCAGTTCCAGGTTGCAAAAATCTCACTTGGTATTTTTGTTTGCTGCATTTGCATGGCATTTTGCAGCCCAAATTTGATAGTCTTATTGTGATCTGTATATAACAAAGCAGTAATTTATACTTGTGCTAAAAAGTATACTTCTGTAGTCAAAGAGAAAAGCAATCACAAGCAATCTTAATGGTCACATTTACACTTAATGATAAGCTAAAAAAAATTAGTTTGTTGAAGTCATAGGGTCTGATAAGTTAAACAAATATTATTTTGTATGAGCCTGGCAAATTTCAAATCCCTTCAATAATTCTGCTGCAACCTGTGTTAAATTACAAATACCAGGAATCCCTGGCTGGAGACAGTGAAAACTATAGGATGTGGAGGAAATCAGATGAGAAAAAAAATTAACATCTAGAAATTTGGGATATGTTTCAAAATTTATAATTGGGTGAATATTCATATTCTAACCAAACTGCATACTGTCCAGTCTACTTGCTCATTCAAAAACAGAGCTTTCAAACCTACTTGCTTCTACTGTTTAAATGCCCCACTAGTTAGTTTAATATGTGAAGCATTAAATAATATCTGTATTTTTACTACTTGGAAAAAAACCACGTATCTTTAAAATGGTATGTGGGCAAATAAAATTCACAAAACTCATTATTTGCTTTTTTGCTACACATTTTCTGACACTGGAAATCTAATAGACTTTATTAAATAAAATGTAGTTACTTTCCCTTGAAAAGAAAAGTAACTATCAGAGAGATTTTGTAATAGTGTAAATGCCATTATATAATACTTCAGAGTAGATTCCCCTTGTATGAAAGGCTTTAGTTGCCATCATTCCCGTCCTGAATGTACTCTGACGATAGTAGGAACTTCACTAATACATCTGGAAGGCTACCAACTAGGGAAGGCTTCCCAGAAGTAATCCTTGGCAATCAAAAATGCATGAATGTTTTAAAAAAAAAAACAGTTTCCTAAAAAAAAAGTTTAAAAAAAAAAAAAAAAAAAAAAAAAAAAGGTTAAGGTTAATTAAAAAGCAACTGTCCCCAAAAACCTGAGTTTTTGCTGTTGTCTTCCATAACATAAGCTAAATACGAAATGCCAGTATTTGCAAAGCAATTCAGGGCAAATCACATTTTATATATTTTCCAATCAGTTGCTATGGCCTTCAAATGGTTGGCATTTGAAGACCTCCTATGTTCCCTCTAGAAAACCTCAGCCCAGGCGTGGTGATGCTGCAGTTAAACCAGCCTCAATTCTAAGTTTGAGTCGCATCCAAATGGCAAAAGACTAAAGACACTTTTAATTCTGAGGTGTTGAAGAAGCCTACAGTATGGAGGAGCAAAAATAAATAAATCATAAATCAAAATGACAGGAAATAGCAGCAAAGTAGAGACCAGACAAGTTATGTCCCTTGACACACACTGCATGGGAAAAAAATGACAACTTTCTTCACTAATAAGGCATTCCATCTGTGCTAAAGCCGAAAGTCTTTAACACTTAATTTGTTAGTTTGATCTTGGGAGCATGTAGTAGAAGAAATACATGTAGACAATAAAAAGGACAGCAAGAGTTAAAACTGTTCACTGCATTTAGGAGTGTCCTAATTGAACTGACCATATATATCTGCAGACAACAAGCTAAGCATGAAATTGGCCTGAACCAGACACAATACATCATAAAATCAGAGTGTTCTGCGAACCCACCTTTCCTTCAAGCATAAAAAATAAGTTCTGGAATTTGCCCTCCCTGAACCCCAGTGCCATTGGTGCTGTCTGAAGAACACTGGAATTGCACAGTCACTTTGCCACATTGGACTTCTGTCATTCCTTCTTGCCCAAAATAGCTGAGTTCATTACCATCCAAAATCACACTAGCCGTATAAAAGGTATCTGGTTCGATTTGCACTGGATACTCAAACCACACGGGGAAAGTATTGCTAGATCCATCTGAGAAATACTTGCTTAAGTTTTGTCCAAGGATAACGCCTTGCCGCTTGAGTTCAATCTTAGCACTGTATTCTGCTGATCCGCAGCTGGAGCCATAGAGTCCAAACCCAGCAATGAAAACTCTCTTGTCAACAGCAAACTGGATGCTGTCGCACCGGCCCCTGTAGCGCCACTGGTTGCTGCGGTAGGCACATGACTGGAAGCGATGACAGCGCTGAGGGACCAGGCCTTTGCGGGCATTGCTCACAAACTGCAGCTCTGGTTTCTTGGCAGCTGTGTACCAAAGGAAGATATCGTTTGTTTCACTGAGGGTCAGAAGACCAGACTGAGCAGCCCCATTGGCGAAGTCATCTAGGGCCATGGTGGGTATACGAATGAGATAGAGCGCCTTCCCAAGCACTTTGCGCTTATTTTCAATGCTAGGAGGTAACTCTTGCCGTTGACACTCCATTTCAGCCCAATTGAGGGCAGCTTCAAAAACCACAATCTCTTTGGCGTTCAGGGTCTCCCTTTGGAGAATGCTTTCAAGGGTTTGGAAGTCAATGTCACAGAAGCCTTCCGATTTCAGAGCCAGCTCGGCCTGTGCATCGATCACCTCCCAGCAACGCTCAGTCAAGTCTGGTTCCTCAAATAAGCAGCTCTGGGAAAGCAACACACAAGCGTTTTTTGCACTCAGGCTTGTCTCTAAGAAATTCACACAGGCCCGGGCGAGATGAGGAACAATGTACTTCTTGGCGGCATAAAGAGTTGCTAGAACCGTATCAGCAGCCAGGTCAATTTCATCACAATATATGTATCTGTAATAAATAAATATACACGTCATTCTAATATTTTAGCAGATGGGATGGGGGATAACATTTTCCTACAATACTGAAAATAGAACACTAATGTATTCTGGGAAACACTTCCCTCAATCGCAACTTGTACACAACAATTTAGGTTGCTGACCAAATAACATCCGAATTTAACAAATTCTTTATCCTCAAAACTTGTATGTAAGTGTAGGATAATTTACAATCTATGCTACAAATCACCAGTAGAAGGCAAACTTTAAATTTTTCTTTTTTTCTTCCACAATACTGTCATACATTGTTGGCTTGCATACATTTGAGTGATGATTCTTTTATATGGTTAAACTCATTTAGGCAGCAGCCATGACTTGCTTTAAAAAATGACATAATGAATTTAAATTATGATGTCGTTTCACAAATCGAAGTGTGAGTTAACAGGAGCTTCTAATTACATCCTTAGCCACAATCTGATCCTGCTTTCTTTGCACCTCACCCTCGCATTGTGCTTAGGCACAGAGGAATGAAACAAATGCAGTTGGAAAACGAAACTAATCTCCTGTTTAATTTATTTATTTATTTATTTATTTATTTATTTAATTTGTATACCGCCCTTCTCCCAGAAGGGACTCAGGGCGGTGAACAGCCAAAATTAAAAAACATACAAATGCAAAAGTTAAGATAATTAAAAGAATTAAATCATTGGCTACCCAAATTTAAAACCCCAAATCCATAAAATTTAAAATCCCAATTAAAAACCATTTAGGCTAGGCCGGCTTGATGAAATAAAAACGTCTTCAGGGCTTTACGGAAGGTCCGGAGGTCCGGGATCAATCGTATTCCAGGAGGCAGCTCATTCCACAGGGCGGGTGCCCCCACAGAGAAGGCTCGCCCCCTGGGGGCCGCCAGCCGACATTGCCTGACCGACGGCACCCCGAGGAGGCCCTCTCTGTGAGAGCGTATTGGCCGGTGGGAGGTTATTGGTAGCAGCAGGCGGTCTCGCAAATACCCTGGCCCTAAGCCATGGAGCGCTTTAAAGATGAGAACCAACACCTTAAAGCGCACCCGGAAGACCACCGGGAGCCAATGCAGCTCGCGCAGGAGAGGTGTTACGTGGGAGCGCCACGTCGCTCCCATAATCACCCGCGCGGCCGCATTCTGCACCAGCTGGAGCTTCCGGGTGCTCCTCAGGGGGAGCCCCATGTAGAGAGCGTTACAGTAGTCCAGGCGTGACGTAACCAAGGCATGAGTGACTGTGCACAAGGAGTCCCGATCCAGAAAGGGGCGCAACTGGCGTATCAGGCGAACCTGATAAAAAGCCCCCCTGGCCACGGCCGTCATATGCTCTTCTAAAGACAGCCGTGTGTCCAGGAGGACGCCCAAGTTGCGAGCCCCCTCTGTGGGGGTCAGTGACTCGCCCCCAATAGCCAGCGATGGCACCAGCTGGCTATACTGGGACGCCGGCATCCACAGCCACTCGGTCTTGGAAGGGTTGAGCCGAAGCCTGTTCCTCCCCATCCAGACCCGCACGGCCTCCAGACACTGGGACATCACTTCGAGGGCATCATTGGGGTGGTCTGGGGTGGAAATGTACAGCTGAGCGTCATCAGCGTACAGATGGCATCGCACCCCAAAACCACGGATGATCTCACCCAGCGGCTTCACATAAATGTTGAACAGGAGCGGCGAGAGGACCGACCCTTGCGGCACCCCGCAAGCAAGGCGCCTCGAGGTCGACCTCTGCCCCCCTGCCAACACAGACTGCGACCGGTCAGAGAGATAGGAGGAGAACCACCGCAACACGGTGCCTCCCACCCCCAGTCCCTCCAGCCGGCGCAGCATGATACCATGGTCGATGGTATCAAAAGCCGCTGAGAGGTCTAACAGGACCAGAACAGAGGAACAACCCCTGTCCCGAGCCCTCCAGAGATCATCCACCAATGCGACCAATGCCGTCTCCGTGCTGTACCCAGGCCTGAAGCCGGACTGGCACGGATCTAGATAGACGGTTTCATCCAGGAACTGTGGGAGCTGTCGCGCAACCACACTCTCCACAACCTTCGCAACAAAGCGAAGGTTGGAGACCGGACGGTAGTTTGCCAAAACGGCCGGGTCCAGAGAAGGTTTCTTGAGGAGGGGCCTCACCACCGCCTCTTTCAAGGCGGGAGGCAAGAAACCCTCTCTCAGAGAAGCATTTATGATCCTCTGGAGCCAGCCTCGTGTTACCTCCCGGGTGGCCAGTACCAGCCAGGAGGGGCACGGGTCCAATAAACATGTGGTTGCGTTTAATCTCCCCAGGATCCTGTCCACGTCCTCAGGAGTCACAGGGTCGAACTCATCCCAGGTAACATTCTCAAGACCAGCCTCAGTCACCCCGCCGGGATCTACCCAGTCAGAGTCCAAGCCTTCCCGAATCTGAGCGATTTTATCGTGCAGATACTGTGCAAAATCCTCAGCCTGCCCTTGCAAGGGGTCCTCCCGTGCTCCCTGATGTAGGAGGGAGCGGGTCACCCTAAACAAGGCGGCTGGGCGGTTATCTGCCGATGCAATAAGAGCGGAAAAGTGGTTACGCTTTGCCGCTTTTATCGCCACTAGATAGGTCTTAATATGAGACCTAACTAGTGTTCGGTCGGATTCGGAGCGACTCGCCCTCCAACCACTCTCTAGGCGTCTTTTCCGGCGCTTCATCTCCCTCAGCTCCTCGGAAAACCAAGGGGCTGGGCAGGTTCGGCGTCGGGTCAGAGGCCGCAAAGGCACGACTCGGTCCAGAGCACCGGCAGCTGTCCTATCCCAGGCAGCCACCAGATCTTCAGCCGAGTCGTGTGCCAGAGTTTCAGGAACTGGCCCAAGCTCCCTCTGGAACCTATCAGGATCCATCAGGCGCCTGGGGCGGAACCACCTGGTCGGTTCCGCCTCCCTGCAGTGGGGTGCAGCGGTCGAAAGGTCCAGTCTCAGGAGAGAATGGTCCGACCATGACAGGGGTTCAATAACTATATCCCCTATATCCAGACCACTCTGCCACTGACCAGAGATAAAAACCAAGTCCAGAGTGTGTCCTCCCGCGTGAGTGGGGCCTTGAATTAATTGTGTCAGGTCCATGGCTGTCATGGAAGCCATAAACTCCCGAGCCATCCCAGACGCCCCACCGGTAGATGGCAGGTTGAAATCCCCCATGACCAAAAGTCTGGGGGTATCAACCGCCACCCCGGCAATAACGTTGAGAAGCTCGGGCAGGGCCGCTGTCACGTGGCAGGGAGCCAGGTACGCAATCAGCAGGGCCACCTGCATCCCATGGCCCCACTTCACCAGGAGAGACTCACATCCGGCTATCTGAGGTACAGTGGCCTCCCTCGGATCAAGACCTTCCTTTATAACGACCGCCACCCCCCCACCCCTGCCCTGGGCCCTTGGCTGATGGAATGCGCGGAAACCTGGTGGGCACATCTCTACGAGGGCGCCCCCCCCTCTTGGCCCAACCAGGTCTCTGTAATACCTGCCAGGTCCGCACCCCCCTCCTGTATTAGCTCACAAATGAGGGGGGGCCTTATTAACCACGGACCTGGCGTTGCACAACATCAGTCTAAGGCCTGGGCTCTGAGACTCTGGACAGCCGGGGAAACGAGAAGAGTCATGGGGGCCGAGGCATGCCACCGCTTGGAGATAGCGGGTGCGTGCCCCCACCACCTGATGTGGCCCCCTACTCCCGCCATATCTGCCCCTCCCAACCACGGTCCTGATAGAACTGCCCTCCACCCTATCCACACTGAGCTCCTCCACACCCCGCTCCCCGCCTTCCGTTCCATGCCCCTGTAACGGGCCTGACCTATGCCCCTCCCTCCCCACCCCCCACCCTAAGCCACTTAAAAGATTACAAAAAGACAATTTTAAAAAACCCCACAACCCCCTCTTTGCGGCATGCCACCTCTCGGGGTTCCAAAGCCCGTCATCGAGGTAGGCCCTCGATAGAGTGGAGGGCCAAGCCTGCGAGAGGGGGGAGTCTCGCAGACCAAGAAGCTCCGCTGCGGAATACATCTTGACCACAGAGGATGGGAGCAACCATATCCTAGGGGTCCATATAGAAGGTCCAGGGGAGAGACATGGAATGGGAGTCTCAAAAACATTTTCAACAGGACCGGTCCACTGTCCCCTCACAACAGAGGACGAAGTCAAGTTCCAGGTCGACCACAGTCCAAGGGGGGGAAGGGGGAAGACCCAACCACCCTCTCACGGAGGTCCGATCAACCATTCGACCCCCTCTTGTGGTGAGATGGCAGCGATGAACCAATGCAGACAGCACAGCATCCGGCATAATTCTGACTGAGCTAACCAAGTTTATTTAACAAGCCCATCTCCCTAGCGTCAAATGGTGGAAAATTTAAAGGGAACACCTAATTGGTCTATTTACTGCATATATATAACTTGATCCACCATAGCAGTTATTATTTTTGGTGAAATAATTTGGCAGTGTCCACAATGTTAAATTGTCATTGTGGCCAGTTATATCATATACAGCAGATTTTGCAGAGCATATTTTATATGCCTTACAAATGAGCATATAATTCTCAGGATAGTTAAGAACCTGTCAGATTTTAAAAACAGAAACAAAAAACCCACATGCGTTTATAGTGTTGCACGCCTACATGGATGCACTAGCTAATAGTAAAAAAGAGAGGATTTATGGTGATTTAGGTGGGATGGTTTTTTTTTTTTTAATAACATGTAAGATTTATAAATTCTGATAGGAACAACATGTTTTAAGATGTTGTTCACAAATCTCCCCATGCACGGCTTCTTTTGTATGTCAGCCAATAAAGGTGGTTGTGAGCCAACCATTTGAAGACCATAGCAACTGACTAGAAAAAAGGATTCTCCCATTTAATATTACAAATCTTTTGTATCAATTTGGTGAACAATGCCATGGTTCTGTAACTTGCTCTGTGTAAATCTCTATATAATAGTTCATGGTTATAGTAATACACTATTTGACCCCCCAAAAATGACAATATGGGTTTAAGAAAATCCCCTACCTATCTAACAATAAACAACTATTTAGATGGTTTTAAAAAAAGAACTTTTGCAGTGCTGAATTTCTCCCTTTGTTAACCTTAGTTGCCAATTCCAGTTGAAACCAATCCCTCTGCCATAAGTCTGTGCACGTGATACTCTTATATACACATATGTATGTATGAAAGTATACGTGCCCAAATCCACATAACCTAAATAGGATAAAAAAATAAAATTGTATTAAATGAACTACAGGTGGGTTTGGGATTGCCATCACTAAGAAATGTGGATGTAAAGCACATCAAGTGACTGCATCACTTAGTGACAATCCCAGTAGTCCCAGTTGCTATTGCAAGTCCAAAATGCGTGGGGGTTCATTCAGTGGGAAGCAGTGCTACAGGGAGTGGAGAAGCCCTGGAAAGCCCAGTAGGGGGAGGAGGAGGAGGATGTTGTGGCACCCTGCAAGTGCAGGAAGAAAATAGGTTAGAGGGCACAGCACAAGTGCAGAAAGGCCACGGGATGGAAGGCATAGTGCAGCAGAGTGCAGGAGGTAGGATGTGCAAGTATAAAAAGGCCATGGGGTGGAGGGCATGATGTAGCATGAATGCAGGAAAACCCAGAGAAACTTACCAGAATGACTTGGGACTTTTCCTACCAGCTTCCCCATTGACTTTGCTTGTGGGGAAGCCAGCAGGGAAGGTTGCAAATGGCGATAACCATGATTCCTGCAAGGTTGTAATTGTGAGCCAGGCAGCCAAGTGCCCAGATTGCAATCATGTGACTGCAAGAGTGCAGAAAACCCCAGAGAATTCAGAGGAACAGTCATACATCATTTTTTCCCAGTACCGCTGTAATTTTGAATAATCTAATGGATGTTAGCCAAGGACTACTTGTAAAAACTAATTAAGCTCAATTGCCTGTCAAATAAGACGCGCCATTTCCAAAATCTACCTATATGAACTTGTCTCACGCAAACTCTTCTCACAAAAGGACATACACAAATTCCTCCAAAGAGGAAAATTCAGGATGGAGATCGGGTGAGAAGAAAAAGTCATTCTAGTGAAAAGGGATGGAGAAAGAAAGCAACAAAACTGGATGGAAAGAAGAAATGTGGGAAGAGGCATTTAATCAGGAAAGGAAGGAACCCTTGTCTAATTGTTCCAAAATGGCTAAATTCACTAAGGAAACAATCTTTCCAAAGCAGCACCTCCAGGTGATGTCTTGGATTACTTGTACCTCATACTAATTATGTTGTTTTCAGTATATTTTTATATTCTTAATATGTATCCCAATTCACAGATTTAATTATTTGAAAGGAAAAAAAAATATGACAAATCTGCTTGGATGGTACAAAGTCCATCAGAGAAACATTCCACTGCCTTTTCACTTCTTAATTAAGTTGCCGCTGGACATCCCAAGGAGGAGAAGAAGAGGAGAAAAAGATTTTGTTTTTACTTGCCACCAAAACCTCTGAGGACAGCACACTGATACACAGACCCATCTTTGCAATTTGCTAGTGGTAAAAGAGCTAAACAGCAAATGGTAATACAGCAAAATTATGCCAGGCCGGGTTATAAGGATCAATCCTGTCAAAGGACAATACAAATCAAGATTGGACTTGGTTTTGCTCTTGACAAAGACTGATTTGGCTTCTTCGGTGGATCACAGTTAATAGAAACACAGAGTTAACTTTCTTATGAATGCAGCCACCATGACAGAAACAACCTAATAAAAACTGCAGCTTTAATTCCCTGCTCAACCAATTAATAAACTAAAGCTCTGGCAGCTCCATAAATTTTCCACTATGGTAAATTACTGTGAAAGTTACACTGGGGGAAGGTGGTGGTGAAGGGAATTGATAACAATGTTCACCACCAACAAAAGATACTTCAGCCACTCAGTCATATGGATTGTTCTGCAATACAAGACAATGCAAAGACCTCTGGCTTAGGTGGCTTTAAAAAGAGTAAACAGGTATTCAATGCCTTTCTGTATTCTTAGTTGATTTAGTGGAAGCTTACTCGATTAATATTTCTGAATTCCAGGAGGAGTGGGAAGACAACAATAATTTCCTGAGTGACTATCAAAATTGGCAAGACACTCAATTAATTTCTTCTCCTCCCCCATTAGATGTTTAATCTAGTAGAGTTCTTATAGCCCTTATTTTAGAACACTCAAGGAACAGTGTTGGGCTATCTCTGTCTTAACTGGCTTTTCTTCCTTGTAAATAAGTGCTTCAGAGACCTTGTTCTATCACTGTCTACATGCACATTTATGAGAAATGCTCCAATTTGCCCCCTCAGGGGGAAGTAGCTAGACTTGAAGAGATGGGGGGGGGAGTGTATTCCCTAGTGAGCTGTGCTTCAAAGTACTTTGCTGTAAAGTACACTTTTTCTGGTGCTTGTCATTTTCTGACTTCCAAATCCAGCCATGGAGCTAAAAGGAACATGGCAATTTATTTGGAAGATATGAACAGACAGGGGATTCTTCTCTTTGCTATAGTTTTGATCTTAGCTTCGCACAATCTTCGCACAACGCAATCCATCGTTGAAGTGAAACATGGCCAGGCTGCGTATGTTTAAAATTGGCATTCAATAGACGTTCTGCCGATTAGAATGGATAAATTCCTTGTGTGTCCAATCATACTTGGCCAATAAAGAATTCTGTTCTATTTCTATTTCTATTCTATTCTAATAGTTACAGAAAAAGATGGGAGAATCTGGTGTTGAAATTTGCTTGAGCACTACTGATTTCCTAGTGGGAGAAAATGAAGACAACTATGCAACCTTTTAAACATTACTTGCTATCTGGAAGTGGGAAAAGTTTCAAAGTGCAGAGGAAATGCCAATTTCAGGTACGCTCTTATTAAAAAGAGTTCCACTCTTTTTTTTCCTGCTACTGGGCACTGATTGTTTATTCCTAGGGCAGTCCTAAACTCCATTGAATACTGATGCTGCTGTAACCTATACCACCAACCTAAGACTTTTCCAGAACACAAAGTCAATGAAGTAAAAGCCTGTTAAGGAAAGAGATTCACCTGAGTAGAAAGTGGAGCTTTCAGTTGAACATTCTTAAACATGGATTGTTATCTGCTAAAGATAATTAGAATGTGGTGAAGATGCCTCTTTGCTAGCTTTTGTTGATGGGGAGAGCTCTGCTGCTGGGAAGTCTCCCATTGCATCTGCAGAAAGAACCCACTGTAGCAAGCATAAGACCATGAAATGAGGCATTCAGCATCTCTTTCTCCAAGACAGACTTGATTCAGGCCCCTCAGTTATGCCTGTAAAGAGCTGAGATTCCCTCTCTGTTACCCCCAATGACTGGGAAAATAGTAATAGTAATAATAATAATAATAAAAAGCCTGCCAAGCTGAAGCCTAGCAAAACTGCTCCTATACAAAATCAGTCTCATGATGGCTAGGAATTTTGAAAGTTGTAGTTCCCTAATGTATTTGCAGGGGCCCTGGTTTGGAAAAGCTGTTAACGTGCAATTCCGACTCGTGGAATTGTGTTTTATTGGACGAAAAAATGTATAAACCGTAGGTTTTTAGTACAGTACACATAAGAAATATAATCAAGAGCACCGTTGAAGATTCCTGAACAATCCTGAAATCTGCTATAGAAGTACAGTACACTAGGCACATATTAATGGTATTTCCCCAAATACATTTCCTAATACTTGCAACATAGAGCATTATGGGGTTTTTGAAGTCAATCAAGCAGTACTCCAGTTTTACTGAAAACATAATTATCAAAAAGTTTACCTAAAGATATTTAGCTAAAGTTCATGCTTAATATCTAAATATATGGTAATGCTGGCAATCTTAGTAATTAAAATCTAACACTTATATTTAAATATTACAATCACAATCAACTTTGAGAATTCTCAATGTCGAGCCACATGTCATGACACAATGACATCTTATTGCTGGATATCCTGTTTTGTATAACTTCCTTTCATATTCCTCACACACTGTGTGGTAATGTTTTATTATCATCCAGACAATTTAATTAAGACAGTAACAGTTAAGAAATAGCTATCCAAAGTTGGGGGGCAGGGGGAATCCAACTCCCACATTATTAAGATGTAATATGGTTTTTAAAAAAATGAACCATAGCACAAATCGATAAATGTTTCTAAATAATAATAAATCTTTTCAGATACACCTTCTACTTGAATCTATGGAAAGCACAGTAAGAAAGCAACTTGTTTTTCTTTACATCCCACTCATTGCACAAGAGAAGCAAGCCAGATGGAGTGAAGAATCGCTAAAAAAAGAAAAATGCATGTTCTATCTTCAGTTCCATATTAAAATGCCTCAAATATATTTGGAGAAACCAATTGTTGTTAACATTTTAGATTTTATGCAGCCGTTAGGAAAAAATGCTATCATGATGAATTCATTTGACAGATTTATGAAATGACAATTGCACTGAAGAGGAATGGGAAAACACTGTGGGCTTTACTTAAAGTCGTAATGCAAACATTTTTATCAGGATATATATGAAATGATTGATTTGGATTTTCTTTTCATGTTTTTAAACTTATCATATATCTTCTTTTGTGTATAATGTATTAATAGTTTGCCCCAAAGTTGTAAGTGACATGCAAAATGTAGTGGGAGAAAGTGGGGGAGGCAGGGAAAATATAAATTTTGCATATTAAAAGTTTTAAAACTAACACAGGGACTATTTTTGGAGCGAAGATGGAGATATTTCTTTTTATAATGATACACAACTTTTTAACACTGACATTTCTAGAGCAAACTAATTCATTTCTAATTCATTTCCAGCAACTGAAGGAAGATGCTTGCTTACTTTAGCATAGCGAGGAAAGCAGGAGGCTCCACATCTGGGATACGGATTTCATCTTTATCCTCAGCAAGCTCTCCGTAAAACATTGCGTGGAACACAGAGCTTCCAACGGCTAAGACATACTGGTTTTTTTTTTTCAACAAAAAGAAAATATCAGTTCAGGCTATTAAAAAAAAAGATATACTAGAGTGACATGTGTATTAAAAAAAGAAGGCCTAGTTGAAGGCAATTAAGGTTTTCACCATTCAAAACTAAGTAGGGGAATGCTGGGTTTTTCTTTTCATCTTAAGAAATAGTTCTTCAATATATCTATTGCTTTCCTAAAAGAGCTTAAGAAATTCATGCTGAGAGCCAAGCAGCTGTAGCATTTTGGAACAGGCTTCCGCATCTTGTGCCCTCCTTATCCGATGGGCTATGATTTCACTCACCTCTAGCTCCCATTATGAATTACTATTATTAGAATTGAAGTCCATTTTACAGCACTTAGAAGGTGCTTGGGCAAAGTAGGCTTATAAAACCCCACTCTTGCAGCAACCTTGGGTAAGACTATATCTCAGACTTTATCATAGGATTTTTGTAAGAATTAGAACTAGTTGTGGGGGAAAAGATGGTAGCAATCTGGAAGAACATCGGGATAGTGTCACAAATCACACATAAAATTCTGCAACAGATCTTCTACCAGTATTGCAAAAATGTGTTAACTAGAAAGGAAATTATTAGAACATTTCACAGGCAAAGTTATTTAACAGTATTTCTAAGTATACCAGTTCCAGGATTCAAGCCATTTATATGAATTTAAAGTAGGAATTGTAGATATTCCCCTCACACTCCCATGTCAGACCTGCTACTGCAGTTCTTGCTTACTTTGTGTCCTGGTAATCGCTGGGTCCCACCTGGTGGCCCAACCACAAAATGAACATCTGCCATCAAGTCGTTGTTGAACATCACTGCATTTCTATAAACAGAAGCAATATATTAATTGGGAGTGTTTAGCATCAAGCTTTATCTCCCAACACACGCAATTCATTTTGTTGGAAGCTCTTTAAAGGATTTCATTAAAAATCAAACTGAGAAAATTAAAAACAGAAAGCAATGATAATTAAATATTCCAAGGTTTAGTGTTTTTAAAATAAGGATTCCATTACAAAAAACTTTGGAAAAAACTTTCCTCAAAGTGAAAGTGCCAAGCTGTGCAAACATCTGAAAGTTAATACATAAAAAATACATTTTTTATGAGCACAAACAATTATGAGGTTAAAATGGCTTGCATGAGAATGTAATTTTCATTATCAAAAGACAAGAACTACACTGTTGGAAAGGAGAAACATTTCCCCTTTTCTCAGTTTTAATGAACGATCCTGTGCTAATAAAACATTTCATTGCATGCTGCTCCAGGACTTGTAAACTCAAGAAAGAAACAGAGCCAAACTTCCTTACCTTTCTCGGATGGTGGGATACAGCCCTTGCCAGTTGGGAGCTGGAATAATATTGTTGTTATTGATATTTTGCTGGTGATACTGCTGGACAGTAGTTGTGTTACTGTTAGCTGGTTTCTTTCGGGGGAAAATATCAGCAGCCATCTTTTTCTTCTTTTTAGTCTTCAAGGTAATGATTTCATAGCACACTGGAGGTAATTTGCTGTTGCTGCTGCTGCTGCCGCTGCCTCCACCGCCACTGCTGCTGCTGCTACTGCTGCTGCTGCTGCTACTACTGTTTACCTTCTTCGAGCTTTTCTTGGACCTGTTCTTAACTGTCTCTGGAAGCATCAAGAAGAAGGTGAGACATTTCATGTTCTTTCCCTTGTCATCTACCATGAGTATCTCTGTCTGTGTAAGCAGAGAGCCTTACTTGGTAAACAGAGGGAGCAGAAGGTACAAATAAAAGAGCAGCAAAGCTGAGTGTGTGCTTCTTCTTCTTTTTTTTTTTCCCCTCAGCAAAGACAAGGTGACCTTTTCCAGGGTGCTGAATAAGAGATCGGCTTTTAAGTTTGATCCAGGGCTTGACTGGTTAAACGTCTCCCCATTGTGATTCCTTTTTTCATTTGCTCGCCAGAGCTTTTTTTTTTCCCCCTTCTCTCTCTCTCTCCCCCCTCCTCCAAAGGTCTGGAGGCAGAATCACCTGAAACCGCTAGGCTGTGGCAAAGCAAGTAGAAGAGCAAAGATGTGTGCTGCCTGCTCGTCAGCTGCCTCAACTTGTGTGCTGAAGGGATCTGCACACAGGAGGCATTAGAGCCCTGCAGATGGAGCCAGACGAGCAGCATCCTAGCCCAATCGCTGAAGTCACCAATAACAATTGGACTAGCAGCACAGTGACACCTATTGTAGATGTACAGTGCCCAAATATTAAAGAGCCAGCTATCACAGTCGCACTTCGCATCGTTTTGAAAAGTAAGAAGCGACAGCACATGCAAATGCATGTGCGTTTTTATGTAATTGCTAAGCTAATGAATGTGACTTAATGCCTCGCGTGTGAGCAGGGAGGAAAATAATTTCAGAGAACAGCAGGATTCCGTGGTTTTTTTTTTTTTTAAAAAAACCAAACACCAGAAAAATATTTTCAAGTAGATGCGATAAGCCAAATAATGCAGTGCTGATCCCCCCCGCGTTTCCCCCATAATTAAAATGGTTAAATGAAATTGGTATCCATGTGAAAGCCAATTAATTTGCAGCATAAAATGGACTGATACAATTTCAACGCTCTTTCTTCAAACGTAGTTTGTATTCCAGAGCTTTACCGAACAGAGATGAGGTCATCACATTAGTTTTTAACTCACTATGTTTTCTGCTAACAGTCTTTGACAGACATCTCAAATCACTAAGTACAGGCTAATTAGACAAAACTATGCCAAAGATAATTGCAAAGCTTCCATTGAAAAGTATCTACAAGTGTAGACCGAATACAAATAAATCAAATTATTTATATACAAATTGTTTAGAGAAAAAAAAATATTTCGTATACATGCAAACAGACCATATTTTTGAACTAATATAATTACACTTCCATTGGAATGTAATTGCTAAAGTGGTCCAGAACACAGAGAGTAGTAAGGAAATTATATAACCACTGAACAAATTACAGGATCTGCACAGATGGCCCACACTTTTAATCATTTCGCTTCCCTCAAATAACAGCAGCTTAACACTGTAAGATTTGGACTGCAGAAAGAGCTACTGTGCGTATTCAAGCCGAGGCAGAAGGACAGCATCTCCACATATAACAGGATGTCACGCAATCAGACCAAAGGAAGCCGCCATGTGGCTAAGTTAAGGACAGGTTCTGTTCCTGCAGTCAATGAGTCCTAGACACAGGAGATGGATTCTCATTGCAGCATATGCTTCATTGTATTTTAATTTCTCTCTGTAATGTATCACTGAATGGAGGAAGCATACAAAGAGATAAAACGCTATTGTTAAATAATCAGCTTTGCTGTATGGAATTAAAACTAGAAGAGGGGAAAAACTAGATGGAGGAATGGCGTTTGAACAAACAGCCCCTTGGTTTCCATTAAGGGCTAGCTGTTTTACTTTTAGCATCTTAATGCTACAGTATTTATTTACATAAATACAATATCTTACATTTCAAGTATGAACCTGTACAGGTAGTCCTCGACTTACAACAGTTCGTTTAGTGACCATCCAAAGTTACAACGGCAGTGAAAAAAGTGACTTCTGACTGTTTTTCATACCTAGCACCATTGCAGCATCTCCATGATCATGTGGTCAAACTTCAGACGCTTGGCAACTGACTCTTATTTCTGATAGTTGCAGTGTCCCGAGGTCATGCGATAACTTTTTGCGACCTTCTGACCAAACAAAGTCAGTAGGGAAGTCAGATTCACTTAACAATTGTGTTACGAACTTAACAACTCCAATGATTCACTTAACATCCGTGGCAAGTACAGACATAAAATGGGGCAAAACTCACTTAACAACTGTCTCACTTAGTAACAAATTTTGGGCTCAGTTGTGGTCATAAGTCGAGGACTACCTGCATTATGTGCTTGGACAATCCTATAAGCCATCTTGGCCATGAGCTGTAACTACCTAGTTAATGTAATGATCTACTTGGATACATGATGGTCAACTCAATATCAAAATATCATACAAATTAAATGGAAAAAGTACCTTTTGTTTGCTACTTATAATGTCAAGCAACAAGAAAAAATGTTTTGCCTATTACTGCTGTAGTGTTTTTTTAATATGTATTTCATTAATCACTTCAATAATTTAAATTAGAGAACAAAAGCAAGGACATAATGCATCACTACATATAGATTGCAAATACAATTATCCATAATCCTACAGATCTACATAATATTAGAATGAAAATCTACCTTCCTGCTATAGCAGAAAAGTGCAGAATATACTAAGCAATGGGTAATAGGATGTCTGTTTTCATTAACAGACTACTCTTAACTATAGAGTTCAAGATTTTGGACAATGTCCTTATATTCTTAAAAGATCAGTTATATTATGAGAGTGAGCAATGATGATATTCACAGTCCTGTACATACTGGTTGCCAAGTGCCTGAATTCTGATCACATGACAAGAATGTGAAAAATGATCGTAAGTCACTTTTTTCAGTGCTGTTGTAACTTCAAATGGTCAATAAACAAATAGTTGTTAGTTGAAGACTACCTGTACCACATTTAGAAGAGAATATAGATTGGACATATTTTGTTAGCAATTGATATCACTATCCATTCCATAAATATAAAATGTTAATTTATTAAATTAAATCCTTTTTAGGGTGATAGATGCAATATTAAGAAAATGTACATCTGTTGTGTTTATAATATTGTTGTTGTGGGGAAAATAGGAGGAGGAAGGGTACATTCACCACCTTGTTATTTGTAAAGTAAAAAAGGTGGGATAAAACTCTAATAAATAAATAAGATTACAAACAGTGAATGGAATCACAACAGTGTCTCTCTTCTAAACTGAAATTTAATCCTACTAAGATAAGAAATTCTTTCAGTTAGCAGAGTAACCAATCTAGAAATAGTAAGAGGATATTCCCCTTGAGAACATGGATTTTTCACTTGGAATACTCTTGGATTCAGCTTTGACACCCAATGTCAAAAACACTTCAGTCATTACAGATATAGGGCAGATCTTGCTATGGTAGAACATACACAAGCTACATGTCAACGTTGTACACACTACATTGATTTACTCTAAAATTCAGTTCAATGTGTTTTATTGATTGGTGTGGGGTCTCAGGAACATGTCAGTAACATGTTCCCAGGCCCAATTCAAAGTGCTAGTTATGACCTTTGAAACCTTATATGTTTTAAGATGAAGGATCTTGAAGTATCATTTTTCGTAAATGATTCTGCCAAATATTAAGAGGATTTCATGTTACAACAAAAAAAGTGCTTTTTGTTTGTACTGTCAAAACTCTACAATTCCGTATCTGAAAGTCTGTCCTTCCTTTTTTGAATTTCTGCCATCATAGCCTATGATCTTTTCGTTCAGAATTTATTTTCTTTTGGAAGCAGGGAGTGAATATTTTTAAAATAAATTTGTTTTCCCATTAGTACTAGATTTAAGATTCACTAAATGTGTTTTATTGATCCCCTATTTTTTCAATCATTTAACTTCAACTACTTTCAAAACTTTCATCTTATATATATTCTACATTAAAAAGATGATGTATTTCTAAAAGGCTTTGCATACTAAGTGTAAAATAACTACCTACTGATTTCTCTAATCAATATCTTTTGATGTGTTTCTACTCTTTATAAGTTTCCAGCCAGTATGGATGCTTTTTTTCTTCATTCTCCCAAAGGTGCTTTTTCCAGAGGCAACTGGACTTTCTTCTTTTTCTTAGAAGATGTTCTGCTTCTCATCCAAGAAGCTTCTTCAGCTCTGACTGGATGGTGGAGAATGGAAGGATTTATATTCTTTGCAGACAGCTGGTCATTTGCATCAGCTGTTGCAAGGTATATAAATCCTTCCATTCTCCACCATTCAGTCAGAGCTGAAGAAGCTTCTTGGATGGGAAGCAAAATGCCTTCTAAGAAAAAGAAAGTCCAGTTGCCTCTGGAAAAAGCACCTTTGGGACAACCATGACCTGAATAACTGAGAATCTCCATCAACATTTTTCTTAATTCTGTATTTCAGTCTGACATCTAAAATAATCTGAGTTTATATGATAGGTTAGAATTTCCTCTATTCATCCTGACTATTCATCTAGTGTTGTTCTGTATTAGTTCCCATACTGTTCCCTTTTTTTTCTGAACAGGTCCATTCCTCTCTCTCTTTTTTTTTTAAAATTTGATTTATATGCCGCCCTTCTCCGGAGACTCAGGGCGGTTTACAACGCGTTAAGCAATAGCCTTCATACTTTTGTATATTTATACAAAGTCATCTTATTGCCCCCACAAACTGGGTCCTCAATTTACCTACCTTAGAAAGGATGGAAGGCTGAGTCAACCTTGAGCCTGGGGAGATTCGAACTTACAGTAATTGCAGACAGCTGGTGTTAATCACAATGCTATCAGTCTGCTGAGCCACCATTAGTAATTGTCTGGGGTGCCTCCTTTAGAAATATCCATGTCACACTTGGAAAACTTGAGTGGCACAAATATGAAACTTTCAGAATTGAAACTGCTCATGGACTAATTAGCTTGCAATCATCCTGTTCCACAAGACAGCGCCAACTGGAATAGAATAATATTTTTAAGTCTCATTATTATGCTGCATGATTCTACCAGAATAAGAATGTACTTATCTTTCCATTGTGTATTTGAC